ATCCTCAACTTTCCTGCTCCTACACTATCCAGTGGCGGCGTCGACAAAGATGGATTCACAACCACAGCTGTCTGATTACTGTTTTCTCACATACTCCCTCCTAATTTTAAACCCCAAATTCCTCATTAGAAAATTCTCCAAGGACATTAAAATCATTCAATAGATCCTTATAGTCATAATCTTGTTTCCTATGAAAACCGTTGTCGGCGACTACCAAATCACTTGTTGCTCTGGGATAGTGGTCATTTCCATCTCCTTTGAACTAGCGGCCGCCACTTCATTCTCCATCTCCTTTGTGTTTTCTTCATCTCTCACACAAGACCTAGGTTTCAAAAATTTTTGTTAAAGCTACATCGAGAAACCCAAATGCATACTCCAAAATTACAAGAAAAATTCAACCAAAAATTAAACTAGGTATTAAAGAAAAATATTTGGGCTTTGGTACTTTGAAGGATGTTGAGTGGGGATGAAAGCAAAAAGAAACCATAACCTAGACGAGGTGTTTTGTTGCCACTCAATTCTGATATGTACTAGTACCAGTATTTGGGAAAGAACAAATAGAAAGAGGAAAAACAAAAAACAAAAAACAAATGGGAGGAAAATTGAGAGATCCAATTCTGGTAAAGCCACCGACCACTGTTAAGCAGAAGACGAAGAGAACTGAAGCTGAGCAATGAACAGGGCTAGAAGTCTGGTATATGATAGTTTTGATTCGTATTATTGATGATGTGGCAAATTGTATACCGCATGGTCTATAGTTGGGGCCGTAGACCGAGGCTACACAAATTTATGCCTTCACGGATTAATCGCTAATTTCACATATTATAAGCAATTATCGATTAAATGGTCACAAGTTTACTGATTAAGTTATTTAGTGATCAATTATTGACGAAAAATAGTTTGATGTCCAAAACATGATCCGAACAATAGTGTTCAGTAGTCATTAAGGTTTTTTGCCCTTTTATGTTGAAGTAAGAAAAAATAGTAGCAATTGTAACACAATCTTCTAAGATAATGCTTGTCCACTGAACACGGCTTCATTGCTGCTAAATGGTGTCCCTGTTTCAATATCTCATTGAAAAGATGCAGAAATATCAGCTGAACGTATCAGCTATTTATTAAAATCCACAGCTGTATACATTGGCCTCACTAAATTACCTACCTTATTTATTTGTTTGGTTCGCGAGGAAAATTTACAGCTAGTATGAATAGCTTCCTCTAAGATTTGCAGCACATATAGCAGGATCGAACAATTGAAAATCCTAGGCACTTGCCAGCCAACCTAGGCCTCATCCTGGGAAAGATGGCCATTGCAAGAGCAATCTGCTGCGTTATCCTTGTTCTCCTTTTTTGCATCAGGTAAAATTTCACGAGTCATATCAACACAACTTAATAAGTATATTACAACTATTTCTTGAAAACAATTCTTTTTTTCAGTGATAATTAAATATTTCGAACTTAAATTTTTATATTTTTTTCCATGCCCATTTTTTCTTGTCTAATACTAATAGTATATGCATCACTGAAAAGTTGGCTTACATGCATTTTTGTGCCATAATAATTTCATGTGGTGATAAATATTGATATTATTAATTAATGCATGCAAGGTGGCAACAACTAGATGGTGATGGCTCAAGGATCAACCCCAATCATCCCGCCTTAAAGATGCACAGATGGTGTAGGTGTATGCGACGCAACCTGCGATGCTCTGTGTTGTCTCTCATTGTGCAACACCTACTTCAGTAACCTTCATCCCCAGGCACTCTGCAAAAAAGCCCCCGGAGTTGGCAGAGTCTTGTGCGTCTGCAGGCACGACTGCTGAGTGCTGCCCATGCATGCACGTAAATGATCTACTACGTTCCATGCTTTGTATGAAGGCATTCACAACTTGAGATTAATTATGAATAATTGATATATACTAAATGTTACCATAGTTATTTTCTGCAGGGGTTCCATGTACTCTTGGTTGGATAGAGGAGTAAAGGATCTTTACATGGACTCCAACTACATTAATTGTTTGATAGAATGGGATGAATAAAAGTACACATCCTCTATGTGCTCGTCTCAAAAATTTTAATGAGCCCACAATAACTTTTTCTTTTGTTTCAATTCTCCGTATTGCAAAATTATTTTGGTGTAGCCGCTTTATTGGATTCCATCTTTAATATGATGACATTTGACTAACTCAACGTACGACAATTACAGTAGTTTCATCCACCTGTAAAATGTATTAAAATTCAGAAAATTCTACTCAAAGCGATATACGACATATACAAATCAAAAGATCGTCCACCTCTTGACTTTTGGAAATTCTTTTCTATCGTTTTGACAAAATGCGTTTTTGAAATTGCTTTTTTGTTTGAGATAAACTTTTGAAATTTTAATTATATTTGGATCGTTAATTAAGGGAAAAAGATAGTAGCATTAATCTTGAACTCGTTTTGTGTTTCACTTGTCACTCTACTGCAGGTCCAATACTTGAAGATCTGCAATCTAATGTTGGCAGAATTGACTCTCTCACGTTTTAAAGTGACTGGGTAAATATTGTAATTCGTAAAATTGTAACTCACTCTTTCGCTAGATATATGCCCAATGCTGGCAATCATTAATCTATTTGGGAGCATATGCTCCTTCATTTGTAGATCTTATTCTAATGGCTAATTTTCAATTATCATAATAAACTTTTATATTTCTTACCCAAAAAAGAAAAATCTTGAAGGCGTACATAGTGGCTATCAAAACTTAGTAATACGTAGTAAAGAATAAGATAAGATAATGATTTTATACTTTTAATCCTTATTCTTTAATGTTTACTCTAAACCAGATAAATTCCATACCACTAGTATGTGGTAAAAAAAAATAAGTCTTGCAATCTTCACTTAGTATTAATTCTAGTTTTCCATCGTTCTCAATACCTGATAAGCATCAAAATTACCAGCCCCCCATTACTAAATAGTAGAGGTACTATTTTAACTAGTGGTAGCGACCCATGAAGAAGAATGCAACTTTAAATGAAGATTCTACAGCTTTTAATACCAGGATTTTCCTTCTTTTGGAAATGACACATTTTTTTTTTTTTTTTTTTTTTTTTTTGAGGGTACAAATGACATATGCTTTGAATGATGTAGGTGAGTGAGATCCTTGTCCGGCCTAAGAAAAGATAAAGTTTCTCTGTCCACGTCCACCCATTAATTCGAGTCTTTTGTTCTTCTTTCTTGAGTTTCACCAAAAAGAAGAAAAAAAAACTACCCCTTCTATTGGAACCGAACCCATTAATGATACTATTAGTCTGCCTGTTTATTCAAATGTGTTGAAAGATGATGATTGGGGATTATTCTCATTATCTGTTTCTCGATTGACACTGATGAAGAATTCACACGTCTTTGTTCTTTTTTTTTTAATCTTTTATGTCCAAATATGTCGATTGACAATGATGATGATTGGGGAAAATTAAAATGTAAAGATGATTAGTTATTTGGGTAGTTATCAACTTAATTTCAAATTCTAAAACTAAAAGTTGTACATAACTTTTTTAATATACTTGGACCATTTTGTAATAAGAGTACTAAAAACAGATAGATCACAAAATGGCCCATCGCCGTAATCCCTCATGCTGTGTGTATATACTTGTCTTGATCGACATACTTAACCCTTAATAACAGCATTGTACATCATAGTATAATAATACTTAACTATTAAGAAGGCTGATTTATATGATAACATCAACATAGGAGAACCTTCATCAGGTTTACATGATTGCCGTCCACTATAGTGGCGGAGCCAGAAAAAATTTTCAGCGGAAGCAGAAGCAACTCTAAAATTTTTTATCTACTCTTTTTTTAGTTTTTTAAGGAAAAAAAATATTTATCAACAAGTACAAATGATGCATATATTTCATGAAAAATATCAAAAGACAAACTCAAAATTATTAATGTAATAATAATTGTATTTCAAAAGCAAACTAAACTATTTATAATTGCTCATAACGAGTTTTCATATTTTGATAACGGTTTACAACCTTTTTATTTTGAACTTTACGAAGTATATTTTTTTAATATAAGTAACTAAATAATTATTCATCCAAGTGTCTTCCATTCTATTTTGTAACCGATTCTTAACTATATTCATTATTGAAAAAACCATTTCTACAGTAGCTGTAATAACAGGTAAAATCAAAGACAACTTTAAAAGCATATAAACTAATATATACACAAAACTCCAGAGGACACACTTGAAATTACATCAAATTTTTATAGGTATTATAGAAATTTAAGGGGGGCAGTGGGGACCTATAAACCAATAGATATACAAAACTTCAGAGGGCACAGGTGAAATTACATCAAATTTTTATAGATATCTTATAAATTTAAGGGGGCCAGTGGGGGCTCGCGCCCCCAGTGTAAATCCGCCACTGGTCCACTAGACAATTATTCTGGGCACACAGAGCTACAACTAGAGCTTGCAACTTCTAAATTTTGGAGCTGGTGACAGGAACTGTTGGCTGATGACTGATGTACTAGAATAACTCTTGTAGCGAAGATCAAAACGGGTTCTCAAAATTTGCGTTTTGATAGCAATGCTAACATGCTTGCATTATCTAGTCGTTAAAATTGAGACTCTAGGAATTAAAGGCCCTGATTCCAATCTCCCTTTCTCCTCTCCGTTTCTTAAATTCCACCCATCTCACAGTTTTTTTTTTTTTTTTTGGGTGTTATGGTGGGGTGCGGGGGGGTGTGTGGTACCCATGCTTGCATTAGATCAACACTACACATACGAGTCATTTACTCATGTTACCGTTTCAAGGATAGAGCACTCAGCTTCTATCTAGGAATTTTTTTTTTTCTCCTATTGAACCAAGTACATTACAGTATCCTAACAAGTCTTTGATTAGAATACCAATTACCTAAAAGAGTAATCCTGAACTCAATGTCATACTCTTTGAGAAGTAAACTTGAGAGATAGACAGAGAGAATCATCAATATTAGTCTTGGAAAGTGAAAGATCTAACCAAAGAAACTGACATATTTATACATCAGGTTCGCTTGAGTCAGACAAGTTGAACTTCAAGAAGTAAGCCAACTGATGCTGATGGATGTCAGTGTAAAAAAGCCACAACTCATATCAACTGAACAAGCGAAACATTTTATGTGGAAATATCTACAACCTTAAAAGGTGGAAAATCCTGATAACTCGATTGTTTTGAAGCAGATAGCTTTCTTTAGCTACTAGAAAATTATAAAAAGAAAAAATTTAGACACATCACCATTGCACCAGATTAAAAAAAAAAAGAAAAAAGATACACATCACCACTCATGATGAGAGTAGCGCATCGGGCAGGCTTTGTCTCATTTAGGCTCAGCTTTATCTCATGTGGATGCAGAAGACCATGCACCTGCATGTTATGCTAAACAGGCATAGAAATAGCCGCAAAGGCTAGCTAACAGGGATATCTAACTTGACACACCCGGCAATGTAAACATATCCAAGTACCAGAATTATCTGTATAATTCTATTAGGTACCAGCAAATTTGTCCACACTCTTGACCTGGATGATAGCAGGTGCTTGAACATTGAAAAGTTTCTTGCAGATTAATTATGACTACGGTTGACATCTGGCTTCTAGATCTACACACAAAATACCAAAAATAGCCATATGAATCCATCATTCTTAGCTCAGAAACACTTTGAATCCACAAAAGATTACTTAGTAGTGCTAAATATAAATTTCTTAATTCTCCTTTCTAAAGAGTGCAGCAACATAATAAGAGTTGGCAACACCATGCATGGTGAGATTTTTATAGTATGTTTCATGACAGATACAATCAGAAGAGTGGCAAAAGTTTCAAAAACTTATTCTCTGTAAAATATGTCAAGCTAGAAGCTGTAAAGAATTAAGCATCAGTGAACAAATTTATGGAATGGGTGCATCCCACGTGTCAACAAACTAATAAATTTAGTAATTCCAACAAAACCGACACAAAAAGCATACTTGTACAACCTCCACCTAGTAAAGATAATAAAATGCCACTTGTGAGTATTGATAAGATCAAGAAATCGTGGACCTGAGTCATGTCTTTGAGAATTTTTCCTCATGCTAAGCAAGGCCATCAAAGCATTACAGCAAGAGCTAAGTGGAACTTGGAATGGGAAAGACAAGTATGAATGGATCTAAATTAGTACCAAAAGAGCAACAAGAGTGGACATTGACAAGGAGAACAGAATTAAATTTCCCAATTGTGGGAAGCAATCTTGATTCTGCATTTTGCAGCAAGAGACGGTGTAGTCCAGAGAAAGTTTTGGTGACTCAAGGACTATAAACTTTGACAAGAAGAGACAAAAGGACAGGATTCATACAGAAAGAACTTGAAGCAATCACTACTGAAATTGAACTTTGGCACAAATGTAATGTAGCTCCATTCAGGTTGCACAGACAGTAGGCTAGAAACTGGCATTGTTTTCAATAACTGGACTGCATAAGAACTTCTAATCCAGCACAGGAAGACCATCATTCAAGTATTTGCTTTAGAAAAACCTAACAGAGTAGAAAATTACAAAAACGATGCAGTGAATTGTAAAAGAAACTTAAGAGTAACTGCAATAGAGCCGGAACTTCACATGGTTCATAATTCATCCAGCAACTAACCTACATCATGCAATTCAATTGCAAAATAGGAAAACATCCAATTTATCAACTGATATAATTCTCAACAAGCATTGCCACAAAACAAGGACAGAGTAGCTTCAATGATCATTTGATTGTGCGCATGTGTGTGTGAGGGAGGGAGGGAGGGAGAGAGAGAGAGAGAGAGAGAGCTAACTAAACAGTGAATTGAGAGGTGAAGACCGTAATAGAAATCCTTGCTAAGGCTTGTTTTGGATGTTTCAAAAAATGGAAAATCATTGTTTTGTTCCATCCTTCTATTTTTCTAGTGGGAGATTGTACGGCAATTACAACCAGCAGTGTTGTGGTATTGCAAGAGTTTCTCTCAACCACCAGTCCCTTGGGGCTCAAAAATATTTTATTCTATACCAAAACACTATGATGCAATCTGTTAGAAGGATAGAAAGAAGTACAAATATTATCCAGAATTTTTATCAATGCCACTTTAGGAACATTACGCAACAGTTCTATACCTATACCCATTTTAATTCTTAGTGCATGGTAGATGATACTCATCAAATTCAAGCTTAACAAGTTTTATTTAATGATGAAAATTATTACTTGTAAATATTACATTTGACTGGCTGGTACTGGTGTCAAGCTGCATGCCATATTACAGAGAATTCTTTATTTTTGCCAAATAAATTAGCAATGAATTCACAGATTAACCTTTGCAATCCAGTAAAAAAAGCCTCTCCACACTGCAGCTCAAATGGAGTAACTGAAAATTGCAAAATGGAAAAATTTACATAAACACACTGAAATGGACATCATAACTTTTATACCTGAATGTTGCAAAGTTCATCAAAAAACTGCAGGCAGCGACTTGGGATCAAGTTCAAAACATCCCTCTGGTACACCTTCCCTTTTATAGCTGCTCATCCTAAAAGAAAGTACTTTGTGGGAGAACCTAAAGAATTCTTCATCGTGTATCACAAAAATATCCTCCTTATCATGGCTTCTTCTGTGATATAAACTTGCATATCCTTCCAATTTATCCAAGTAAGCAACTCTAGTGTCAAAAGAATTTCTCTGGACAATCTCAACTATCTCATACTGGCAGCGTAAATGATTATCAGGTTCAGAAGCCCTGCAATTAGTATTCCAATCCTTATAGAGGGCCCAAGTCTCTCCCTCTTGAGGATGAATTAAGTAAGGACTAACAAGATGCCAAGAAGTAACAGTCTCTTTGTAGCAAACTTGATGCGAAAAGTTACAACGAGATAATGACAAGGCCTCTTCTTCACCACACATAAATCCACCACAACCAGCTGGTAAGCCAGCATCTATCCACTCCTTCCAACCCTGCTTTGTAGCAGGTAACTTCACACTTTTGGACCTCTTATACGGCATTGCACGTGGATAATGTGCCACAGGCTGGAGCCATGCAACACGAACAATAGGATCACGCACCTTCAGGATCCTTGCATATAATTTTTGTATCTTATCATTACTACTATGATAAGAACAAGCCCAAATTTGACCAACACGAAAGCTGCTTAAGGTGTATGTTCTTCTGAAGTCATTAAACAATTTGTTTGAATGATAAATAGGACTTGAGTTTTCAAAACCTGAAGAATCACAAGAAGCTGAGTACGAATCTGAGTTTGAATTGGCCAAGCCTAAACCTGCCTCACCGAGATCACATGCTGAACCCGAATAAGCTGAATCGGATTCTGACACTGAATGGGACTCATTTAGATCACATCCCGAACCTGAACGACCTGAATCACCAGAGTCTGATCCAACCAGATCAATGACAGCATGTTGTTCAGAGTCATTCTCATATGCGCCCTTGTCTTCACTTTTTCTTCTTTTCTTTGTCCTTTCCGAGGATGGTGTTGGATTTATTGAAGCCGGTTTATTAGAACAACATTCCTTGCTTTTCTGAGCAGAGTCAAGCTCTCTCTGTTTCATGACAAGCTCCTTCTGTAACTCCAAAACCTTTTCCTAGCCTCAAGCTCACTTTCTCTAGCTTCAAGCATCCCCTGTTTTGAATCCAAAACCTTTTCCCTCAACTCAATCTCCTTCTCTAAACTCTCCAACTTTTCCTCTTTCTTATCAAGCTCATTTTCTCTACTCCCAATCTGTTTCTTAACCAACTCGAGCTCCCTCCAACGATCCACTACCTGCCTTTCTTTCAAACATATTTCTCTAAATCCCTCATCAACAGAACTTCTAAGATCCCCAATATGTTTGCCCTCCAACTCTATCCTCTCAAAAAGCCCTCCTATCAACTTCTCTTGCTCACTCAATTTCTCCTCCCTAACTCTAATATCATCTCTAATCAAACTCAATTCATTCTTTTTCACCTCCAATTCTTTCCACCCTTGTTCCAAGATCAAACGACACTCTCTCTCCTTCTCCTCAAATTCCTTCGCCCGAGCTTCAATGGCATCTAGCATCACAGCAAGTTTTCTAGAACTTTCAGAAAGAGATCCTTGTACTCCATTCAGATGATTTTCTCTAGCTTCCAATCCAGTCAAAGCCTCTCGGGAACATTTCCGTATCAAGTCCAAATTTTGCTCAAATTTCCCAGATATCTCCTCCAGAACACCCATAAATGAGTGTGGTTTATAATAACGTGATAACAAAAGCTTAGAAAATAAAGCGTTTATCTCCACAAAAAACAAGTACCTGTGGTGGTAATCCGGCAGCAATTGAAGGAATATGGATGTAGTTCGGCGACTATGTCGAGTTTAGTGAGCTGCGCTAGGGCTGAAATGGCGAGAGGTAGGGTTTCACGGCAGAGGTCTTGGCCGTCACATTGCCCATTTCCGACCAGTCAATACATATTGAAAGTAGTTAGGCATTTCGGTTTGTGGCCATTCCTCAATTGTATTTCTTAACGTTTCTTTTTTCGGTATTTCGGTATTTACCTTTACGTTTCAATTGTATTTCGGTGCGGGATTGAAGTAGGTTGCATAGAATTGTCAATGGAGCCTGTGCTGGCACAAGTTCGTCCTCTTTTTCGATACTCGTTAATAATCTATTTTGCATCTATTTCTTCTTCTACTCTAACCTATTCTAGGGGAGAATTCAACTGGACCTATGAGGAACCGACGGAGACTGAACTACCATCAGATCAGACGGGTGCACGGGTGCACTACACACCCGTCTGGATTTGGAGAGCCACAACTGTGGCAATTAGTGAAGCTTTAAAAGTTTGATGGTGGCCACCAACCCAAAGGCAACTAGTGGGAGGCACAAGTTCGCCCTTTTGACTTCTCCAAAATAGGACTAGATTTTAGTCTTTTACTTGAATTAGGGTTGGAATGTAAGTGACTTCAAAGATGGAGCCCAATTAACAATAGGCTATGTTTGGGCCAAATTAGGCTTAACTAGGGATATAAATAAGTCTAAACAAACCGAATACATTAGTGTTCAAGATTGTTTCATTATTTTGATGAGTTTGAAATTTTATTCAAATTTAGCTTGTTTACATTTTGACTGAGGTCGATCGAACTTTTATCGAGTTGAACTCAAGTAAAATTTGAGTAGTTTGAACTTTTTACATGTAAATTCCACTTATATACAAATTGAACCAAATTAAGGTCGGCTTTGAAAATTTATCAAACACAAATTGCTATTTAGGCTTAGTTCGATTGGTCGGCAAAACAAACTCTTATCAAACTAGTTCAATTCAAATATTGAACAGTTTGGTTTGTCTTTCAACCCCAACCTTAACTTAAATAAGGTCCGACAGAGTTATCAACATCAAACATGGTTAATTTTTGTGTGGTTGTACTTGTCAATTTAAACATTAATGGAATTTTTATGAAATAGTTAAGTATTTGTTAACAATAAATGAACTTTAGTGCATTACATCTTTTTATCATGATAACTATAAAATATTTATATTTTTCTTCAATATACATAACTATGAAAAACATTTAAAAACCTAAAAATATGTTTATAAAAGAATTTAAACTAGGGGTGCAAATGAGTCGAATTTAATTGAGTAGTTCATAAGCATGCTCGGTCAAAACTTGTACTCGAACTCACATTGATCGAGTTTGAGATCGAGTTCGAGCACCTCAAGCTGCTTGAGTATAATATGTGAAATTCGAAAGTTCATCGAGTTTAAACAAACCCAATCGAGCTTCACCGCTATATATATATGAAATATCAATTTTGTCCCTTATTTAAATTTATATAAATATAAATTTATATTTCTCAAATTCGATTAGGCTCGATTAAACACTATTGAACTCAATTTGTACGAGATAAAACTCGAGTAAGGCAAAACAAAATTGAATTCAAGTTTTTTAAATCGAATCACGTTTGAATACTGCACTATTCAAGTTCAACTCAATTCGATTGCATCCCTAAATGGCTAAGTCAATCTGGCTCAATCTTGGTTTGAAGCCTAAGATTTATTCATTGGGTTGGGCTCGAACTTTGTCAAAACCCAATTTATTAAGCCCGAACAATATGCCTGAGGAAGGGTTCAAGCCCGGCTAATCTAGATTGGGTGTGGCCGAGTCACTTAGGTGCGATGTGATAACGTGGGATACAAAATAGCGGAATACACTCTTGATTTATTATTATTTTTTTATATACTTATTTGTAAACAGTTGAAAACAATACTTTTGGTGTTTCAGAAACAAGTCCATTCACATAAATATCTCTCTCTCTCTCGCTTTTTGGCAAATCACAAACAATTTTAGTAAGCATTGTTATTGTTTTATGTTTGTTAAATTTTACAAGCAAAAAATTAAAAACACAAAACATAAACATTACTAAATGGCCCCACATGTTTATGGATAAGAAACAATTTCTACGAGAAATTACTTAGCACAATGTACAAAATGCAGCACAAGTTATACAAAGCAACTGTACTTGCTGTAAAAAATATGCAAGTTTTTGAAATTTCCTCTTTTATAGGCTCATTCCAATATTTCAAGAGAAAAAAATACAAAAAGGACCCACTTTAGACAAATTTTTAGTACCTGATCTACACTTTTATCTTTGTATCTATTGCATTTACCAAGAAGTTAAGAAACTTAGGCTTTGATTATGGGGTTATTTTCTATAGGTGTTTTTAGTAAAATATTGTTATATTACTCCTTAAGTCTAATAAAGATAAGCCTACTTCCATGCTTCCACGCTTACATAGATGAAGAAGTGCAAAGATAGATCTACTTTGATCGTTACATGGTAAGTCTACTTTCCTAAGTCTTATAAAGATAAACCTACTTCCATTAGTGTAAGTTACTGTAGTTAAAGCATTTACTTTTACTTAGTACTTTCCTCGTATAGTCCTCCATTAATGCAACATGACTCATATTATTCCATTTAAACAATTGGCTGATGTTATTAAATCATACTTGAATTTATCACTCTTTAATGTTCTCCCAATCCCATAAAAATAGCTCATTTTTCTTTTTTATTTGTCCCACGTTATAGACTTATTTCCTTGTGCATTTACTAACATATCCATGTTTGATGTACATTGTTGTCAGTACTTTTACTTTTTTACTCCCTCCGTCCCACTTTGATAGTCTTGTTTTCCTTTTTCGTCTGTCCCAAATTGTAGTCCACTTTCCCATTAAGAAATGTAGTAATCTTTCAAATTGTCTAAAATACTCTTATTATTAATACATTGTTATTAAATACTAACCCACTACATTGAATACATTGAACTTTTCCAATACTAACCCATTAGCTGTAACTGATATTAATTGCCACTCTTCGTGATTAGCATAAGGGTATTTTAGGAAATTATTAATCTAAATTTATGTTTCCAACCAAATTAATTACACTTTCTTAATCTGTGTGAAAAAAAAAACCAAGACTAACAAAACGGGACGGAGGGAGTATTTATCTTAACTTTGATTAGGTTGCGTCTACCATTGAAAAACTAAAACAATAAGTTTTGAGAATGATTGAGTAATATGAGTCATTTAATTTGAATGGGTTATCTAGTATTAAAGGAGGGGTTATCTAGTTTGGTTCATCAACTAGTCAAACCAAATTTGAACAGCATTTTATATTCAATAACATTCAAATTCAATAAAAAGCTTGTTCAAACTTGGTTCAATAAATAAACAAGTTAAATTTGAATAAAATTTTAAACTCGATGAAATAATTAAACAAATTTAAACACTAGGGTGTTTGGTTTGATTAGACTCATTTACACCCTTAGTCAGAAGTAAATAGAATTGCCTTAACTATATTAACTAGAACTTCTTAATCTGTGTAAAAATAGAAGTAAACCTATTTTTATAGGACAGAGAGAGTAATAGATGACTCATGTTTTAGGCAATCAATTTATTAACTGTCCTTTTGAAAAAAGAAATATGTCTATAATTTAAGACAAATACAAGAGGAAAGTAAGTTTATCTTCACAAGATGGAGGAAATAATTTTTTAAAGTGTACACCCAAAATGAAGTGAAGTTGGAACATATTTATAGGATGTGTTTGAATATGAGATTATTTGAAATATTATTTAAAATAATTACTATAGTACTTTTTGCTGTGTAATATATATGAGATAAAAAAATGATTGGAAGGATAAAAAGGTGTATTGAAAAATATATTTGTAATATAAGCAAATAATTTTTTTTTTTGCGAATAATTCTCAATAAAAATGGCTTTGTATGTCACACCCCTAACCTACATGTGCCAGTCACGCGACATCCGCTGTATCCTCAAGTTCTGCTCAAGAATGTAAGTAACATTAGCTAGACTAAAATTTAGGAAGTATTAAATAGTATAACTAAATATAGTGTGGTACAAATCTCAAATGAAAGATAGTTTACGAGTATCCAATAAGTTCGTATATTGATTTTCTAAATAAGACAACAGAAAAGGAAATTAAATAAAACTAACAACCAAGAACAGCTAGACTGCTAATTTCTACCCACTTAGATGTAATAAAAATCATCCTCAGGGTCTTCAACATAAACCAACTCATACTCTTCAGAATCTGCAAAAGTGGTAAAAATTGGATTGAGCGATAAATCACTTAATAGGCAGCATCTACCCCTCTATTGGACCATGCAACTATAGCCTTACATATACATATACATACATACATACATACATATATATATATATACACCAAACCATTTGCACACCATTCACAAGCATAATTATTGAAAATAACGTTATTCATAAAACGGTCAGTAATAATAAGTGACACAACAATTTGTAAACATCTTATTCATAACTGTACATGAAAGCCATAGAGTCATAAATCATTTTATATCAACTCATAACAAGTACATGTAATGACTGGCTTCTGAGTACTCAACTTATACATTAAACCCCTTCTAGGTGGCCGATCAATAGATTTTATGACTACCGATTGGTCTCATTTCATGCATAGGTCAATCGGCCGGATTCTTTACTGAACTACCATGACCTTGTCAATCGACCGAACTCTATATCAGGCTACCATGACCATTAGACAGGACTCTAACACTTATCGTCTATTCCATAACTATTTTGAACTTTACTTAACATAAATTCATTTCACCCGTCATATGCATAATTTTTTGACTTCACAAAAGATATCATTCATAACATATCAAAATGTTTCAAATAATTCACATAGTCCATCTTTATATAGTAAAAATAGAACTTACATAAATACTCAAGTAAATCATTTAATCAAGTAAATTTCAAATTGACACATCAAAATAGAATTAGCAATAAAATTTTACTTTGAACTTTTGAAATTCCAAAAGAGTAAGTACCACCTACCTTTGTCTGGCTGCTCGAGTGAGATTACCTTAGATCTTTTAAACTTGTGTCGTACCTATCAAATGCATAGGTATCCTAATTAGTTGATATTTCTTATATATGTATAAATATACACAACTCTGAACAACACTAAAATTATGTCTAGACTATATTATATGAAGC